GCAGCGCCGCCACAAGAGGAGGTGCGTTTGCTGTCTGCAGCGGCGGCGGCCGCGGCGGCGGCGGCGCGCTCGTCGGCGAGGCGCGCCTTCATGGCTGCGGTGCAGCGCGCCTTGTGGCGCGGCCACGCGGCGCGCTGGCAGGCGTCGCTGCAGTAGCGCGCGGAGCGGCAGCGCGTGCAGACGAGCAGCTTGCGCACGCCGACGGCGGCGGCGCCGCACTGGGCGCACGCGTCGGCGGCGGCGGCGGGCGCGGCGCCTGCGGCGGCGTGGTGCTGCACGTGCTGCGCATGCTGCTGCTGCTGCTGCTGCTGCTGGCCCTTGGGTCTTTGATCGGGCTGGATATGGTCTCGCAGCGTCGGGCTGCTGGTGTCACTGCTGCTGGGAGATGCAGGTCCCTCCGCAACCGCGGCGGGCGCGACCACGGCGACTGCGGCTGCGGCGCGAGTCGCCGCATCGCCGCCCTCTGCAGCGCGTGCCGCAGCGCTGCTCTGTGCCGCCTCGCGGCGGGCGGCCTTGTCACGGAGTTCCCTAGCCGCAGCCTCGGCTTGCGCTGCCTGCTCATTGACCTCCTGCAAGGATAGAAAGGCAAGTAAGGTGATCAAGCTTGAGTCACCCCGCCCTCCCGGTGGCTGCCCAGGCCCCTAAACAGGGCGCCTTTGCTTTGTTATATCATTATCACTCGCCTGTAGCAAGCTCTGTGCGTGTCGATATGCCAAGTAGGCCAAGGCCGCCGCGGCACACAGGGCGGCAGCCCCGGGTGCCCAGTCCTTCGCCGGCATGGTTAGCTTAGCGTGTTGGCAATTCTGACCTGCGCGCTTGTGTGCTGTGTAAGATTGATCTGGTGCGTCCACACCTCAGCAAGCAGAGCGTGAAAGGTGAAAAAGCTGCGGTACCCTGTCGTAGAACGCAAAGTACGCTATATCAAAAGTTCAACCAATCTTCTGTCGACAAATAAAGCTTGGCTTTGTGTCCAAGTTCGATCCTACTGCATCGCTGCGCCCAGGCTGCGCCTCAGCGCAACCTCCAGCTTTGAAGGCGCAATCACCTGTCGCCTCAAATGGAAGACTCCAGTGTTCAGTCCAACATCCGCACTTTCCTCCCGGGAGGCCGAAGGGCACAGGCAGGCAGCAACCCGTTCGGGAGGCAGGCGTTGCGCGGCGTTGTTGAGTTGCCGCCCCAGCACCAAGGTGGCAGCAGTGGCGGTGTAGCTTCCGCCCAACCAGCGCACGCACACATGCAGCAGCAGCCCATGCTGTTTTCATTGCTGGCCGGAGGCAGCCGCGGGATGAGGGGCGCGGGTGCGAGGGGACGCAGCAGCTGCGGCGAGCTCGCGCAGCATGCACAGCACGAGGCTTCTCAAGAGCAGCAGCGCCATCAGCAGCCGCAGCCACGGCAGGGGCAAACGAACTCGCAGACGCACCCTCAGCCCCAGACACAGCCCCAGAGCCAGCAGTGCCAGCTGCAGCAAAATCAGCAGCAGCCTCGGCAGTCGGCATCTCCGCAGCAGCATCACTCATTTGACCGATCGAAGCAAAGCCAACGGGAACGGCAACTACCCCCACAGCATCAGCAGCAACAGCACCAGCAGCATCAGAACCAGCAGCATCAGCAGTGGAGGCCCGCGCCCGAGCAGCGCCATCCCAAGCGGCCGCGAGCCGCGCCGGCCGGCGGCGGCCGCGTGCCCCACCTGCTGCAGCCGCTCAAAGCCATGCGGCCGCAACACGATCACGACGCGTGGGCGCCCGGCCGAACGGCCGGCGGGGCGCGCGGGCGCGGCGCGCGGGGACGGGGGGCGGAGGCCGGGTTTGACTTCTACTTTGATGGCGCGGGCGAGATGGTGAGCCCCCACCGCGCCTTTGAGGGCGGCGCAGAGTCCTGGGAGCGCGGGCAGGCGTTGGCGCGCGTCTGCAGGGCGCCGGCAGGGGTGCTCTTGGACTGGCAGCCGACGGCCGGTAGAGGGCGCCTGTCGCAGGAGCATCATTGCAGCCCCTCCCCTTCCTTCTCCCCGGCCCCCTCTGCCGCCCCACCCCTGCTTGATGAATAACCCCATAAAACAACTGACAGGACGACGCCATGATTGGTCTGAGCGGGGCGCCCAGGACGGCGGGGGAGCTGGCCTGGGAGGGCGTCGGGCGCTGCGGCGTCGGGCCGCGCACCATGCACGACTGACGGGCGGCTGGCGCCCTGGCCCTTGCTGCCGCGCCTGCCGGCTGCCCCCGCCGAACCGTCTTCTGGGCGCTCTGATGTGCGCTGTGAGGCGAGGGCGCTTTGTAAAGTCGGTTGAGTGTGGCAGCTGCGCGTGCTCAGTTGATGGGTGTGTCTAGTTGTTGCTACGTAATGGCGGCGGCCAAAGACAAAAGAGGTCACACTGACAGCCTTGCTGCTTTTACACGAGCGCCGTGCAGACCAGAACAAGAAGAAGCTGCCTGTCGCCGCCCCTTGCTGTTACACATTGCCTCCTGTCGGGGTCACTGCCTAAAAAAACCGCTACCTGCTCTCAGCACACAGCCATCCTGCATTGCCTGCACTTTCTCGGCACCGCGGCCGGCACCCGTCAGCCTCCGGCCCGCGCCGCGCCGCCCGCGGCCCCCGGCGCCTCTGCGACGTGCACCCACCCCGGCCGCGCGTGGCCGGGGCAGGCCGCCGCCCAGAGCTCCAGCAGGCGGCCGCGGCCCGTGGGCAGCAGCGTCTCGATTGTTGAGTAAACCTCCTGCGGGACGCGCCACTCGCGGCCTGGGGCGGGCGGTGCAGCGGGCAAGGTGGGCGGTTGGGTGGGAGGCGGCGGGGAGAGAGGTGCAGCAGCCCCGGGGCTCGTCTGGCGTCCTTTGCGCGGATGGCCGCGCTACGCGGCGGATCCAAGAGCGTGCGCGTTTGGCAGGCGTGAGGGTCGGACGCCCAGGCTTTCCCACCGTGCCGCCGTCGGCGGTCGCGGGCGCCGCAGTCCTGCAGCCGCCCCCTGCTCACCGGGGGCGGGCACTATGCAGTCGAACACGACGTCGGGGCTGCGTTGGTGGCGCAGCTCGATGTCGCGGCCGACGCCTGCGAAATGGATACCAGGAGTTGAGTTGCCGGGGGCAGGAAGAAAACCGAGGTGATGCAGCTTGTGTTGGGATGGGTACAAAAGGTAAACAGGGGCCAGGGTCCGGGCACCCGCTGGCGCTCTGGATCCCTTCCTGCGGGCACATGTGCAAGCAGGCAATCAGCATGCAGGTGCAAGTTCAGGCCCAAAACCATAAAATCTGCAGCTGACCCGGCGGCGCCGCAGAAACCGGCCGGCGGGCCCCGCCGCTACGCGCCCCTGATGCATCCCCTGCCTTGCAGCGCGCTCTACACGGGCACGCACCCTCCCTCCGGAATATCAGCAGCGTGAGGTGGCCGGCCGCGGTCGGCGCAAGGCCCGGCAGCGCCAGCACGCCGTTGTTGGGGGCGCGCCACACCCAGGTGAGGTTCTCGACGTAGGCGAAACCCCAGGCGCCCAGCTGCGACACGACGGCTGGGGTGGGGGAAGAAGGGGGTGCGTGTGTGCTTGGATGAGGGGGGTTGATCATGAGGGGGGTTGCCGGGCATGAGCTGTCGGACCATGAGGCATGCCGCAACATATGGAGGGGTGCGCCAGCCAGGAGCGAGGCGGGGGGGAGGTGTGTGCGCAGCAGATACCGGCGTCGTCGAGGGCGCAGCGTGTGAGGAAGATTGGCCTCATGTTCGATTGTAGCAGCTGTGAGCCCAAGAAGACACTGCAGCCCACCGCCGCAGCCCATTGCCGCAACTCATCACGCCGTTACAGCTCGTCGCTGCTTTGTCCCGGCGACACAGCTGATGGCGAAACACAACATCAGAAAACACACCCACCTGCCAGGAGCTGCTTGCGCGCCCACACAAATACGAAGCCCTGAAGGCACAGCTGCGCCACTGGCAGCGCCGCCAGCCGCCGCGTGAGCGCGCCGCGCCTGGCCGCTGCGGTCAGCCCCGCGCCTGCGCCTGCGCCCGCGTCCCCCCCTGAGAGCTCCGTCGAACCCCCTCCCGCGGCCAGCGGCGCTGCTGCCGCTGCTGTCGGCACTGCTGTCGGCACTGCTGTCGGCGCCAGGTTGTGCGGCGCTGGCGCTGGGGAAGCTTCCCAGCCGGTGTTTATGAGCACCCCCAGAAAATCGCGCCGCCCCAGCAGAGCGAAGTCAAAGCCGCGCAGATCCGCTGCCTCGTGGTACGACCCGGGGCCGACAGCGGCAGCAGCGACGTCGCCAGCGACGGGTGCCCCTTGCTGCTGCTGCTGCTGCTGCTGCTGCTGCTGCTGCTGCTGCTGCTGCTGCTGCTGCTGCTGCTGGAAGTAATGCAGCGGCGCCCCGTACGGCCGCACTGCGCGCCCCCAGGACGCAGGCAGCGGCGGCGGCGGCACCCGGATCTGCAACACCGCCGCTGGGTCCGCGACGCGCACGCGGCGCTTCACCAGGCCGGCGCCCTGTCTGCTGTACTGGCAGGCTGTGGCGGGGCGCGACACGAATAGCATCGCGTCGGGCTCCGCCGCGGCTGCGGCTGCGCCGCCAGCGGCAGGCGCCGCCTCAGGAGTGGGGCCGCGAGGCTGAGGGGCCTTGACGGCTCGCTTGCGCTTCGGCCTGCGAACGGTTAAGGGTGACAAAAGTAAGTCAGCCGCCTGACAGTGTGGCCTTCATAGCATGATGGAAACATGATGTGCCGGGGTTCGACTTCGCAGGTTTAACCGCACCCTCGTGCACCCCACCACAGCGCCTGGAGCGCAAGGGCAGCGCAGCCGCCTGAGTAGCCTTCAACGCTGCGGCGGCCGCAGCGGCGCGTAGCTTCGCGGGAGCGCCGCCCCGGGCGCACCGCTGCTGCTTTCCGTCGCCGGCAGGCCCCCAGGCGTCGTCGTCGCTCCAGAAGCCCCTCAACTCCCGAAGCAGCTCCTCTTCCTCATCTGGGGGTTTGGGAGTTTTACGGGAGCAAGGGGTTGGGGCCGCTCAGCAGTGGGGGCCGCGCAAGCGTATGCCGATGTGATTACCACGGGTGCTGCGGCCCCTAGGGAGCACGGCGTGCAGCAAGGGCGCGGCGGCGGTGCGGGCTGCGCGCGGCAAACAGCAGGGGAGCAGCCGGGGGCATGCGGACGGAAAGAAGGCTTGTCACTAAACGTGGATCCTTGGTCAAAGCCGCCGCACCTGAGCACAGCTCTCCATCCGACCAGGCCTGCCGCCCGCCGTCGCCCCACCCTCCCCAGCCGGCGCCGTCCGCATCCGCACCGCCGACGCCCGCGCCGCTGCCGGCATTGGCGGCGCCGCCGCCGCCGCTGCTGCCATTGACACCGACAGCAACGCCGCCCCAGCTGCCGCCGTGCTGTCCCCCTCGTCCCAGCAGCGCCATGTTTCCCTTCAGCACCGTCCTCACGTTGAAGGCACTCGTGGCCCGGAAAATCGCCCGCAGCTGCCGCTCAGTCGCGCCGCCACTGCCGCCGCCCCCGCCGCAACCGCTGCCGCCCTCTTCAGACGGGACTTGCTCCGTGTCTTGCATGGATCGGTCCAATTTTGTGTGAGGCTGCTGCTGCTGCTGCTGCTGCTGCTGAGGCTGCTGCTGCTGCTGCTGCTGCTGCTTGTGATGCGCCCACTGCTTCTCCTCTGCACGATGGCGCCCTGTCTCTGGCTCCCAGGTGTCCCGCCGTCCCCCCTCCTCCAAGGCACCGGCGCCCTGGCTGCCGCTGCCGCTGCTGCGGCCGCTGCCGCCGCCGCTGCCGCTGTCCGTGCCGCTGGGAGAGCGGCGCTGCTGCCCCGCCCCTGGTGGCCGCGCGGGTCCCGCTAGGATCCGCTCCATCTCCTCAAATTTCCGCATGATCATTTCAGGCGTCTCTTCATCTTCCACGTACCCAACGTAGTGCGATGCACTGGGCAGTGCGGCCTTGCGCAGCACGCAGCGCCGCTTGGAGCGCCCGTCAGCCGCCATCGCCGCCCGGGCACAGCAGCTGCCAACGACGCAGCGCGTCCGCTAAAGCCCGTTCAGGCCGTACTTATGCAGAATGCGCAGACCTTGCAGGTGTGCATTCGCGCGCATTCACTGTTCATCGTGCAAGTGCATGCCGACCTGCGTGCTGGCTGCGCCGCTGTGCTGCGCTCGTGCGCTGTGACTGTGCATCAACCAAGGGGATGGGCGGCATGGAACCAGCTGCCTCAGTGCTACATCTAGTGTGAACATCTCGTGAGATCCTTTCCGCTATTGGCATTGGCATCTTGATCGAGCGACATTGGCGCCAAGATCGTGCAACGATCTATTATAATGCAAGGGGAACCTTGAACCCACCTCGTGCCGCATCACCACCGAATTGATCTTATATGCGCACGTTGGTCACGGAGAGGGCGCTCCATTGCACGCGCACGCGCGCGGCAGTTGCAGTTCGAGCAATTCTACTGTCATGTCGTGCTGCCTGCGCAAGTGCCCTTTTGCTGCTGCGCCCTTCCCCACTCCCCCCCCCCCCGTGCTGGCCACCTTGCCCAGCTCAGTCGCTGCATTCCCATTCAGAATCATGCTTGGTGTTACAATGCACATGCCGTGGGAACATGTTGATTCGATGCAGCTGCGTTTGCATATGCCGCGCGGCGCGGTCGCAGATGCGTAAGCAACAAATATGAATGAGCCAGGGTGCAGGTGGGGGAAAAAGGATGGCGCCACGCTAGATGCAGGCAACAAAGCATACCAGGCAGTTGTCAAGGCGTGTGCGCCCACATGGACAACCTGAACCCCCATGGCCGCTGCGCAAGCTGGTCGGGAGGTTGCAATTATGCGATTAGCTTGGAGGAAGCAGAGCGCAAGTGCCGCTGCTGCTGCTCCTGCTGCGGGACACAAGAGGTGTCGGCGAGCTGATGATGGAAGCAGAGAAAAAGCAGCGCCCCGCCCCGCGTGAGGGCGGGCATTGTCGGAGGACGGAAGAAATGCTGGCACGAACGGCCCAGGAGCGCGTGCAAAATTGTCGGAGCTGTGCCGAGCGGACGCAATGCAGGTGTTTCTAGGAACGCCGCGCGGGCAGGGGCTGGCGCCTCGAGCCCACGCAGGCGCGAAACCGCGCCGCGCCTGAGGGGACGAAAGCGCTTCACGCGGCGCGCGCCCGTCAGTGGCGGCGCCAGTTGCCGGTGTAAGGGTAGCCGCCGTACGACGCCATCTGGGTCCGCGCCTGCGCGCGCTGGGTGGCGGCGTAAGTGGGCATGCCGCCGTAGCTGTCCGCGGCCTGCATTATGTCAGACTGCGTGGCCATCATGCCCAGGTCGCGGCCGGTGTCGGCGTCGAAAGGCCGGGCCAGGGCGCCGAGGAAGCGGCGCGCGAGGGTCTTGGGTGCAGTGGCTGCCGCGGCGGTGCGGCGCTCGGCGG